TCACAGAGTAGTGGAAAGTTACTCATCTTTTAATTTGGTCCAATCATCTTTACAAAATAACTGAATCTAGGCTATAACTGTATGTATTTCACAAGTCTCTCTCTGTGTGTGTGTGTGTGTGTGCGCGCGTGCGCATGTGAAGCAGTAGTAGTAGGAGTTAGTATTTTTAATTACCTTCATTGAAGTACTAGGTTGTCACCAAGCAGATTGTGATCTTATCATCTATTTCTTTATAGCCAGCCATCCTTGCTAGTTGGGTTGGAGTTCATAGTCTAACTTGGCCTCAGTAGACAGGAGAAGTGAATTCTTTGGGAACACAGGAGTAAGCTGCAGGATATGTCCTTATGTTCCTGACATCTTTCTGAACTAGTCTGAAGCATTCCTGGTTCCAGGCCATTTGGAGTTGCATCATCAGATTAAGATGAGCAGTGTTCCCCTTGCAGTTAGACAGGAGGATATGGCCTCCACTTTGGGCAATGCATGTTCCGGGGTTGGGAACAATCATAGCAGTGGTAGGGAAAGTACCCTTTAGCTGACAGAGACAGACATAAAAAAGAGTTTGGCATGAATATATCATAAACACTGGCCCAATGTGATATAAATATTAGAGGCAAGTCTCAGGAAGCTCTTACTATGTGTGCCAAAACCCAGCTTTCTCCTGCTTGTGGGACATTGTAGAGGAAGCTCTTGGACTGACCAGAAAGTTATTTTCACCAATAGGGAAGCAGCTGTGACCATTTACCAAGAAATATGTTTAATTTCAATTATCAAAGGGACACCATAGTCCTCCTCAACTGTAGGGGGTTGGATATCAGCCTAGGGCCAGCTGCAATATTCTCCAATGTGGTAGTTCCTGTGGGTTCTCTATATCCTCCTAGGACTTGAGAATGCCCTTTATTTTCTCCATGTACTTAAGATAAAGTCATTAGAGTGTAATAACAGGTTGGATGTTGAAGTAAATTTATAAATCTAGCCAACGTCTACTGAGATAAACATTAACAAGGTTGGTTAATATAAAATATACAGGAAGCTGGGTAGGTAGTGAGGTAGGGATGATCCGGGAGGGGTTGGGATGAAAACCTGCTTAAAATGTATGAAAAAACTAAATAAAAATTAAAATGACAAAAAGAAAGAACTGTAGATTAGTGGTGGGCCAGAGTCTCAATCTCTCAACCATTTAGCATTCTAGGCACCTCTCCACCTCTCTCTCTCTCTCTCTCTCTCTCTCTCTCTCTCTCTCATCTTTTGCAAGATCACATAATAACTTAAAATGCCCCCTGTGTTTTTCATTTATGTAAAATCATGGCCACTAGCATACATTTACATTTGAAAGTCTTGCTTATGCATGCCCATTTCTGTGTGCAAAGTTCCCAGTCTTACGGTTTTATAAATAAATCCATTTCACCAATGTGTGCTAATTAACTATCAAAATGTTGCCCCAAAGAAAAAGGCTTTAAATAATGAAGTTTTAATTAGCCTATCCATTTCCATATTTAGTTTAACTCTAAAATGCTTGCAACACCAAGCAGAAATTCTTTTTGCTTTATCAGTTTTTCTTAACTTTTGAGAGTTGGGGAGGGGGATGGGCATTTTCTTTTCTCTATTGTTATCAGAACCTTAGTTTTCCTTAATTACAAAAGAAATCGGGAAACAGAAAGTAATAGAAAAAAATAATCTCATTTAAGAATGGCCAAACTGTGACAGAGCATGTCCAGTTTCCTCCCTACTATGCTGTAGTCTTCTTTGAAAACCAGGATACAAACAAGATAGACACAAAGATTTAGTTGTGGGCTTAAAAGGTCTTTTCCTTTACTTTAACTCAACTGGTTATCACCCCAGTTTCCATTCTCTGTTACAGAGACAGGATTTTCAATTTTGTTGCTATTGTTATTTGTTTCCTTTTGCCAAGTCCATGCCTTAGGAAAATGGGATATGCATTTCATCTTTGTGTGTGTGTATGTGTGTGTGTGTGTGTGTGTGTGTGTGTGTGTGTGTGTATGTGTGTATTTGTGTGTGTTGCATATATGTGCTTGCATGTGAGTACATTTGTGTGCATGCAGATGATGGGGGATGTCCTTCTGCATACTGTGAGTATGTTTCTCTTGTTGGTTGATGAATAAAGCTGTTTTGGCCAATGGACAGACAGAATGCAGCCAGGCAGGAAGTGTAGACAGGATGACCAGACTATGAAAACTCAGGGAAGAGGAAAGCAGAGAGACACCATGTAATTACAGGGAAGGCAGGATGCCTGAGCATTCTCCCATAAGATAAGGCCATGTGAAGATACACAGATTAATAATTATGGCTGAATAAATAAAAGAGAGCGAACCAGTAAGAAGCCTGAGCCATAAGCCAAAGAGTTTAGAGTTGATATAAGCCTCTGCTCTATGTGTTTATTTGGGACTAAACAGATGCAGGACCCCGCTAAACAGAAACTTTTGTCCACATGCAAAGGCCAGAGGTGGATTTCTGGTGAGTTCCTTGATAGTTTTCTTCTTTTATTTACTGAGACAGGATTTCACACTGAGGCTGGAATTTCATGCTTCCATTACTCTGGCTAAGCCAGACACCCCCTTTCACTTCCTCTCTCTTCAGTACTGGGGTTATATATAGGTGGCTGCTACACACACCCAGTTCATATGTGTGTGAAAGGGATATGAAGTCCGCTACTGATGCTGACACATGGCAAATACTCTACCCCTTGAGCCATCTCTCTAGCTCTACATACCCATTTGTGGGTAGGTGATGGTCAGGGAAAGGGAGCATGGAGGGGGACTCAATGCACAACATATATTTGTATGAAAATGTCTATGTACAACACAGTACTATGCACAATGAATATACATAACACAGTTTTTAAATCCACATTTGTGCCCAGTGGTTATTGGATGCTAAATGTAATGTCCTCCCCCTTGAAATCAACACCTATGTTAAGCATGCCTCAAGAGCATGTCATGCATTTTTTCAACATGTCTATAGAATTTGGGATATAATTTTCTTGGTCATAGATAACATTTATTATGGTCTCCTAGTTTTTGTAGTTTAATTTAAAAAGTTAATCTATAGACCTTAAAACTCAAACATGAAAAGCACATTCTAAGAGGCTTTTGGTCATACACTTAGCCCTACAGTGTCCTCACATTGTAATACCTGTATGTTACTGTCCCCAAAGTCCTACTTCTGTATAAAATAGCATGTGACAGCTCTGGTTATTTTATGTTTGTTCATTTATTTTCTGATGAACTGAAGTTTCGGGGGGGGGGGAATCATGCTTGACTAGGTCAAGTTATCAAGTTTTCTTTAGCACCCTCATTCAGGTAAAGTCCTGCTGGCATGTATAAACAGAGCCTCTAGATTCTACCAATGCCAATCCTAAGGATGCCATGAAATAACATCTCAAACATATAGCCAAGCCTTCCTGCTTTGTGGTAACTCAACGACCTCATGTTCTCCACAATTTATTTCAAAACTACCTGTCATTTATACCTTCAATTGTTCTGCTATTAGAACCTTAGGAAACCATTGTTATACTGGGGCCTGGACAGTGAAGAAATCAGAATCAGTGTTCCCAGGTCACACTCACTTATATTTGGCACCAAAATTAACAATCTCTGCATCTCTTCATGGGAGGGGTTATATTTGTTTGTTTGTTTTGTTTTCGCATTGATACCAGAATATGGGAGCTTCCTATAATTGCCCTTTGTGGCCTCTAGAAAGTATTACGGATTCTGCCTACAGGAAATTAAGTTTGTAATTAGAGCAAAATTTTCTTATGGAATCATGGAGTTTGGGGTTATAGTTCATGGTTGGTGTAAAGATCTCCTTAATTAGCAAGCATTTTACTTAATGTTAAATGAGTCTTTTTAGACTGTGGATGCTTTGTATGGGCCAAATGTAATGATGAAGGGCCTTGAGACTACCTGCCTGCTGAGCATTACATGCTTCCCCGGACACATGGGTCACCCCCCCCCCCACTTTCTCATTATAACATAACCTCAGCTTCCTTTCTTACGCAGAGAATATGAAGACTCTTGAATTTCTTCCATTGGCTCCTGATACTCAATGATTATTTTGTTTTATTTACTTCTTGCTATAATGATGTATATTATATAGTACTCGACTACAGCTATGCAATTTAAGAGGTGTTTTCAGACCCTTATGGAAACACTCAAAACAGCCTCAGAAAATTGAGAATGGTGAAAGCATTTGCTAAGAAATCTCTCAGTTTCCTTCCTTTCTTAAAGCAGCTGCCTTGGTGTTCACAGTATGTGATGGGACATAATTATGATGCCTCTTAAATGACAAATGTACAAATCAGGTGCTTGGAATAGAAATACTAAAACCCCCCTATTGAAATTATGGCTTTGGCACAGAATGTCATTTATTCAGTCACTCAAACAACTCTATCCCATTTCCTGGAGAATGAAAAAAAAAAAAAAAAAAAAAAAAAAAAAGAAGAATCTTACAAAAGCCCAAGAACCTTTTCCTTGTGGTTTTGCAAAAATAAATAACCAAGGGGACTGATTCCCAAGGACCAGCAGATATAGAGCCACAGCTCAATGTTAGTTAGTACTAGGAGGAGAAATGGATGGCTAAAATAAAGTCTCCAGTCAGGAAGATGGTTCAGTGGGCAAAGTGCTTGCTATACGAGCATGGGGACCTGAGTTTGAATCCCCAACACTCATGTAAAGTGCTGACCCTGCCAGACACATATGCCCATAATTCCCACACTTGGGGTTCGAGGATTGCTAGGAAATGCTGGCTGACAGCTTCTGGCCAGTGAGAGACTTTGTCTCAAGGGATAAGATGGAGCACAACAGAGCAGAACCCCAGATGTCCCCCGCAACCACAACCAAAGAGTCCTGTATACACATGGACATCCATGACACCCATCTCCCTGAGCAGGGGCTTTAGTCTTTCTTCAAGGAGCCAGCAGTCCGCTTTGGCAACTTCCTGGGGCAGGGCTGCTGCCCAACTCCTGAGCAGCTCTGAGCACTCACCTCTCCTTCTCTGGGCCATGGCCTCCCGTTCTGGGTGTACTTGCTCTGATTCTGCCTCTTCTTTTGTCCCCCATCAGCGAATTTGCACAGTAAAGGCTCACTGGGGGCTGGAGAAAAGGAAGGAAAACCACATCAGTAGATGCTCCGTGCAGACAGTTAATTATCCCAGCTGGGCTCACAGTGGAGCTGGGCTTTGAAGAAACATCTTGGTTCTGGCCCTCTTTCCTCTTAGCATCACTACCTGGTGCTCTAACCATTGCTGGGCCTCTGAAAACTACTGGCAGACTGTAATATAGACTCCTGGAAAAGCAGCGTAGAAAGTGCACTCGTCCCCAAGACGTGAGTCTTGTAGAGTGGGTGTGGTTACCACCCCGTGGGCAGCTGTGCTGTCACTATGCACACTGTAGAATTCAATTCTGAGAAATCGTTAGAAACCAGATCAGCGGGTTTGAGAAGGGACCGAACACAGTCACACCTCAGACACACACACTGCTTTAGGAGACAGGGCTTGCCAACCATGGTGGTTCACGATTTGGGTTTTGAGGTGTGAGAACTCTCCATCCAGAGGCCATGAACAGGGGCAACATGACAGGGGACCTGAAGGGAAGAGAAATCCTCCTGTATGAAGGGACATTCTGGCTTCTGAATGTTTCCAGGAATGGGTGGAATGGTTTATACCACGTGATTTGACATAGCCTATTTGCCGAGGAGTCAGACACTGAGTTCAGCCATAAACCTATCTTACAGGATCTAGTGTGAGGGACTATAAGGCCAGAGCACAGCATAGAATCCAGATAGAAGGGTACAGAGCGTGTGGTGTGTGTGGCTTGAATTCTCTGTGCTACCTATGCTACAAGTCTTGTGGTTGAGTAACTTGCATCTTCAGGTGGTAAAACAGAAAGAGGATTCTGGGAGCTGCTTCCCAAAAATGGAAAATATTTTGCTAAATAGCAGCCAAAGTAGCTTCATTTTCTCACTGATCCTCTATAACTTCACAGATGCTATAAGTGGTCCCTCCTCTCATGCTTCCCCCCTTCAGTAAAAGCTAATGAGAAGCCAGGGAGTCTGACTGACCAGACACCGAGTGAAAAAATCTGATAAACTGTCACCAAGTGTTAGGGCAGCTCCCAGGAGGGGATGACTTTTGCCTCTTCCTCCTCATAGCTCTAAACGGCTAAGGACTTATTCCCTAAAAGAGTGCTCCCCAAGTGCTCCTCAGCTCAGAGAACTGATGTGGAGAAAGGACTGTTTGTGGGAAGAGAAAACACAGAGGTTGCCCACAGAAGCCCAGGAAGGAGGTCCAAGTCCAAGAAGAGGAGGAGGTGGAGAGGTGACTGGAAGATCAAGAAGGGCTGGCTTCCTGTCCCTGTCTCCCTATACCCAGCTTCCTCCCACAGAAGTAACAGAAAAGCTTCCTTTGTTTATCTAAGGGTTGACCCAGAGTAAACCTCTGCTTCCACCAACTTCAACCTCCAAGCTATTTAGTAGATGGGGTAGTAGTATGAATCTTTGATTCCAGTAACAGGTTATGTATGCCTTTATCTGATTAATTACAGCGATTATAGGGGTCTGGTCATCTATGCTAGATACATTTCCTTGAAGAATGTGATCAAAATTAAAACATATTAGAATGTATCTTCTAGCAACAGCACTACAAAATGTCCTCAAAACCCAACAAAGCAACACGATGTGTTGACAGTTGGTGATTGCCTCCACATCCCTGCATGTCTGAAGAGAAAGTCACATTGACCCAGCAAACTTGGTGACTACATTAAGAAGCCTGAGAAGGTTAATTGGCTCATGTGTGTGCTGGAATAAACCAAACGCTATTTTGTAGGTTCATAATTAACCAAAATAAATCACTTCCTCCCTTTGTCATCTGAGAACATGAACTCAAACTAAATATTAATTGTATCCTTGGGCATTTTCAAGTTTGAAGACAATTCTAAGTGTCTCCAAAATCAATAGTGGGGAAAGAATACAGGCAAGCCAGCATCTACAAATAGGCTATGTACGAATATGTGTCTACAAATACATACTTGAAAAATATTTGGCTCTAAAGGACAGTGATATCTTGTCCAACCCTCTTAGTCTATTCTTAGTTGCAGATTTTTTCAGACTAGAAGGAAAAGAAAAAGACATGGCTTGCCAATGGTGAAGAGTAATGGAAGAGAAGACAGGGTTCCTATCCTACATAGAACCCACACCATCATAGGGTATTTCTTCTTTCCAATGCTACTTTCCACAGTTTCAGTTATTAGGGATCAAATGTGGTTTGAGAAATGTTGAGTGACCGCATGATGGTGTAGCTCAGCTGGTAGAGTCCATGTGCTGCATGCTTAAAGCTCTGAGTTCAGTCCCTAGAACTGCATAAACTGGGCATGGTTCAGATGCCTGTAATCCCAGCACGCTGCAGGGGGGAGGCAAAGCAGTTCAGCATCATTCTTGGTTACATAAGAAGTGGGATGTCTCCCTGGTATACATGAGATGTTGTCCTTTAATTAATTAATCAGTCAATTATTAATTAATTAATTTTCAACACAGGGTTTCTCTGTGTAACAGCCCTAGCTATCTTAGAATTTACTCTGTAGACAAGACTGGCCTCGAATTCACAGAGATACATCTGCATCTGTCCCCCAATTGATGGGATTAAAGGCGTGGGCCATCACCACACAGCATCAAGTCACGTTTTATATTGTAATGTTATGAAAACTTGATGAAGTCTTACAAACATTCCATCCCACCTCTCCCAGGACCTGAGTCACACATTATCTAGCATTTTCTACTGTATGCTACTGGCCTGGCAGCTCTCTAGCTCCTGCTGTTGGTACCAGACCTTCTGTGGGGTATTCAATGCTTGCATGCAGGTAGCCCTTACCTTACTTCAGAGCAGCCTTAAGGTAAGGATGGTAATTAGAGTTGCCAAAGGGAAGCCAGTAGGTTCTTTTATGTAAGGACCTAAAGGCTCTAGAATAACTACAAGAAGAAAGCAAACTACACCCTGAAGTCATATTGTCTACTATACTTACTTCATGTCCCAGTGCAGGACCTGTTGTATGATAATTTGTTACAAACTGAAATAGTCCCTCCAGAAAGGGTGAGGGCAGGTTCATCTCACATGTCTGGGAGAAATGAGATATGGAAGATACTGCCCATCCCCAGCAGTTAGCAAGGGATAAACAGCTGCTGGTGTGGCCGTGGCCAGCTGAACTGAAGAGAGTAGAGATAGTCAGACACCTTCTCCTTGCAAGCTGGACGAAGGGGGTGTATGTGCAACTTTTGTCAGTAGTCTCCTTTGTTCAGCTGGCTTTTTCCATTCCCTTTTTTTGGGGGAGGGGGTGTTATCAACTCTTCGGTAGGGCACCCCTCACTCACACTCCTGTTACTAAATACCAGCAAATGTACATTCATTGGTTCACCAAGTTGGTGCAATTGTTACAAGTGAGACTCTGGTCTTTCATGTGTACCCTTTCTGAGTGAGTAAATATGTGTATGTGTGTGTTTTACCTCCACAGGAACCTTTCGCATAATAGTATCTGTGGTGATTTATTACCACTTATGGTTTACTAAAGCTTGCCTGGAGATTCAGAAAGCAAAGTCGGCCTCAAGCTATAGAGATCAGGCAGTGGGATTCACACCTTTAATCCCAGCAGTCAGAAGCTAGGAGGTGATGGTACACACCTTTAATCCTAGGATTAACAGGTAGACAGGTATCTGTGAGTTCAAGGCCACCCAGATCTACACAAGATTGATCCAGTCCTAAAGAGAAACAGCTCACACAAAGATGATCTCACACAACTTTAATCCCAGCACTAGAGGGGCACAAAAGATAGGAGCAGAGTTTTCAATAGTCAGGGTCAGGCTCCTCCAAACACATGGAGGATAGGAAGACACTGGAGTCTCAGCATTCTCCAACCATGCTGAAGAGAGACTTCAGTCTGTGATTTGGTGGAGCCGGGATTGTATTTTATTCTGAGGTAGAGTAAGCTAGTGATGAGCTGCTTTGCTTTTCTAGTCTTCAGCTTAAAGCTTGGACCCCAGTATCAGTCTCTGAGTCTTTTATTTTTTTGTGCTAAAAGTATCATTTTGTATCATACAAAATAGAAAGGTGGGCACAGTATGTTTTCAGTGTGAGGGAGCCATCACATCACCTTCACACCAGTTTTATGAGAGTATATTGTAACATTTTTGTCCATTTTTTTTGTGATTGTTGGTAATATCTTACTATGTGCTGTGGTTTAAATGAGAATGCCCACCACAGGCTCAGATGTTTGAACGCTTGGTCTTCTGTCGGTAGTGCTTTTTGGCGGTGGGATGCAGGATGATGAGGCTGGTTGGAGGAAGTGCATCACTGGAGGTGGGATTGGAGAGTTTAAAGACTCAGGCCATTCCCAGTGTACATGCTCCTCCTGCTTCCTGCTTGTGTGTGAAAATGTGAGCTCACAGGTTCCTGCTGCCCCGTGTGCCACTTGCTGCCATGCGGGATGCTTCTCCCTCTAGAACCGTAACTCCAAATAAACTCTTCTATGAGTTTCCATGGTCACGTGATTTACCATTGCAATAGAAAGGTGACTAATGCACTGTGGTTACTTTGCCAATGAAGGTGTGTGGGATATGCTATAAGGAGCAATTTCAGGCATGTACTGGAGGTCTGAGGGCATCCTTTGAGAATAAGATCTCTAAATATCTATAGCACCCTATATAGATCATGGAGATCATGAGCTTTTTCATTGTCTGATTCACTGAGCACCTGGCTTAGGGGCTTGGGTGGAACAGCAGGGCTCCCACAAGGGAAAGACTGAACATCTGATCTGCAAACACTTCTGCCTTTGATCCTAATTGATATGGATCACCCCAGAGGAGCAAGCTAACACAATCACTAATGCCAATATCTGGTGAGTAAGAGTACTTCCCGTGAGATTTGCAAACTGTGTATGCCAAGTAAAACTGTTCCTCTCCAGAACGCTTTCTTCTTTAGCTTTCTAGAGATTCTGGCCCCATCCCATCCATTCAATAGGATGCAGTGTTCACATGTGGTCTTCTCATGGACACAAACACCAACTCCTCAACAAGGTACACAAATCAAGAAGCAACTTACATTTTCTGT